ATTTTTATTTAATACGAAAGTCGTATTAATACGTTAATACGATTTTAAAAAAGTGAACTATCGTTTCTTAAATATATTACCAGTGTTGGTAATGATAAAATTGATCGCATAAAATTTGGTGATAAAGTGGATAAAAAAAATCAAAGCTAATACAAAAGATAAAAATCAGAATAAAATTATTTTGAATTCACTCCTTGATATTTGTCTTTAACATCTGTCGCCGGCGTGTAGTACTGCCGGGAATATGAAAACCAAACTTCGATGTCCCATTCGGAATAGAAGTGGATTAAATTGGTTGTTATGATAGGTTTAAATGCGTGAAAAAAATATCGCAATTACGGGGTCATTACGTAATCGATTTGGCCGTAATTACGGAATTGATTTTTGTCAATTACGTGCAAGCCTATTTTGGGGGATCCCCTAACCTTCGATCGATAAGTCTTCGGTTTCTAACCGATATTCTAGTTATGTTGTTGTTCGAATTCTTTTTCTCGTTCTTGTTTTCTTGCTTTTCTCGATTACTACTGAACCCATCGCTTTGGAATTTCCAGTGGTTTAAGATCGTAATTTTCGCTGTACTGTTGCTTTTATTTATTTGAAAAAGTCGTGTACGTGTCGCACAATTGTGTCTTAGACCAGCAAAATCTTGTAGCCTGCACGTATCACTACCCCAATATAAAGCTTATATACAATCATGATTCTGCTAAATTTTCATGAAAATAAGCGTTTTCAGGTTTGACGAAGCCTACCCGATGCATCAAACTTATGGATATCCTTTGTCAACATATCGTCAGGCTAATACCCGAATTGCGTAAGTCATTTTTGGCGGTTTTATAAAATATGTAATTATGCAATACTGCGCACCTGTCTGTTAACTCTGATCTTATTTTAAGAATTCTGAAACTGATAAAAATGGAGATTTTGTATAGGGTTGGATTATCCGGATAGCGGATAACCGGTTAACCAAGAGTTATTTTGCTATCTGATATCCGGATATTATTGTGACGGTTAATGGAGCAGTATAAATAATGCATATGTGCATTAGCGATTTTTATATTTTTTGTTGAGTGGCGACTGACATCTCCCAGAGCATATAATAACAACTTTTCCCCACTCTAATCTGCCTATATTTTAGCCATCCGTAGAATGCTGGAGTGAACTTCACTATTACATCACAAAACACGCAGAACAAATGTGAATATTGCGCTTATTAGAAGAGCTCATTTGCTTTATAAAGTTAGATTTGAACTGGAGGTACAGTTTAAGCAAGACTAACTCAAACGAATTCAGTTGAAAAGCATTGGTTGGGTGGGTGTGAGTTTGTTGCTTTTTCGTCGGGTGTGGCTTTTAGTTGTTGGCGTGTATTGAAGAAACGCATTTCATCATGATGTAAACCAGTTTGAATTTCGAGGACTTATTTCACAACACTTCCGATTCCATGTAATCTGTGTAGCGTTTCAAAATTTTTAGTACACGACCAAATGTTATGTGCTTGCTTTTAACTTTGGTATATATGTTTTTTCAAATTTCCATGTATCAACCGAATCAATAGATATGCCAGCCGAAATAAATCTATTCTAAACTAATTGAAATTAAAAGCTTAAAGAAATGGTCATCGTGAGTCTGCGACACCAAAATTTAGTACGAGTCAAAATTTAAAGAAAATATGCTATAGACACAAAAAAAACTTCCAAAAAATTTAACAATAAAAAAAAAGAATAATATAAATTTTTACATAGGATTTGAATATGAGAAAATAACTTAGCAGTCGAGGGAAAGACAATTAGGACACAGTATTTGAAAAAAAAGTTTCATTATATTATTCAGCTGTACTTCTGTACGATTACAGAGCTTAAATTTTTATTTATTGACACATGCAACATCAAAATGCAAAATCATTTTTATTCGAGCTAAATAATACATATGTACATATTTACAATAGAGCTGTGTGGTGGTTTTTAGTCAATTCGCCGCAAAAATCTTGTGAAATCGGTTCTCTGAAATTAGCAGTAACTATCCGGTTAACCGGATAGTTAAAATACGAAATACCCGGATATATCCGTTATCCGGATAGTATAAATTATAGGTATCCGAACCAACCCTAATTTTGTATGACATGCACATTTGTGTAATTGTTTCGTCATAATGAATTGGCATTGTTACTGGCGGACTATTATGACAGCATAGGAAGGCGTGCACTTGTGATATTCACTGTCCGAGTTCAATTCACCTTGTTTGACTTTTATATTGGGTGCATTGCTGTTTTATTCTTTATATTTAATCTTAGTCTTACTTCGGTGGGTGTGCAGAGGGGGTTTTATTGATGAAATATATATGTAATTGAAACAGATTAGCTATTTTGGGAATTAGACATCGTAGATACTGATAATTACATTCGTTTTTGGAATGTTTGGTTTTCAGGACTGGTGCATATAGTCAAGTTGCAAAATTGCGTATGTCCCCAAGTCATTATGACGACACATAACTGCGTCATACAAATTAACTCAAAGCCGGCTACGATCAAAAAATTGAACCATGGCAAATTATTGATTCTCAATGGCATAACAGTATCATTAGGAAGTTTTTTTACCTTTTCTCTCAAAACCGCCAAATATGACTTACGCAATTCGGTTATTAGCGTGACGATATGCTAGCGACTGATCTACACATCAAAATGAAGAATCGAAAAGTTGGGCCCGGGGTGAAGTATAATAATAATGGTATAAGTATATTTTAATTTTCTCGCAAAAAAATCATACACAAAACACAAACAATGAACACACAGAAGATTGGGAAAATCGTAGAAACTGGCAAAACCTTTATAAAGGTTTAATACATGAAAATATACATGCGCCAGTTTACCCACATTCAACACACAAACATATATATATATATTCAAAATGAAAAAGACAAAGACACGAACGGGTATCGTTCGGGCGTCAAACTTGTGTAACATAAACACTCGGTGGGTCCCAATTTATAAATACACTTTGATAAGATGGAATGCATGGCTATGGTATGTGTATCACAACAGTGCTTTTCCTACCAAAATATGGAATAAAAAACACTCGTTGACGTAAAATGATGTAAATAGATTGAATGTTTCATGGTGTGGTGGACATGGAAGTCGAACTTCAGATCTCTAGTGTGTAGTGTCAACGAAGCCAATCCTAACGAACCTGAATCTATTTTCGATATATATACAAGAGGGCAATGCTCAAATATATGGACACAAAAGCTAAAACGAAATAGTACGGATATCTAATCTTTTACACCAGATATCAGCGAACGCGGAACCGCAACGACGTGCGCAATTTTTAATTTTGATGATACCATCGCACAAAAAAAAAACGAATTCCCTAAGAGCCCACAGATATTTAGGAAAAAATTAAAGTCTTCTAGCGACAAATTATTACCTAGTATCCGTCTACGAAGCTATTACGAAGTTGGGCACCTGTTAAAGCACATCCTAGATACGGGCCGTCCAACCCGGTGATGGCACTTGCTGGCCACGTTTGGATTTTCGGATGTGACTGAGTAAAAATGATTGAAACATTGCTGGTGAAGCCAAATGGTTGACACACTGGGATATATACCTTGGCAGCAACTGACAAGTTTCCCTTTGTCTACCAATAACAAGCGCACTTTGTGATTTCCGTCAAAGATAACTCCATAAGAATTTTATTTCACTTACTATTTCAGATTTGTTGTCATTGAGCAGTAAAGATTTCGAGCAACTCTCATTTATATGTTTGCTTGGATGGAAGTGCCCAATTAGAAAAACAGCCCTCTAACATTCAAATTATAAAAAGAATTGCCCCCCTGTAAACAATAGCTTAACGTATTTGTTTTTAATGTTCACTTTACTTATTGTGTTCAGTGTTCACCTAATTTATTGTGTTTAGTGTTCACCTTAATGATTATTCATCCAATATTAGCAGTGGTACTTCGGGTGTCGCTGCTCGATAACAATTTTTGGTTCCCCGCGACTTCCCTCCCCCAGTAAAACTGTGTACTATTTTCTTGTAATTTGTGCCTGTGCTATTTATTTATTTTTTACTGGTTGGAAAAAAATAAAAATAAACTAAAAAAAACTAATAATACATCCAACTATGAATGTTGGCAAGTTATCAGTCGTTCCAAGTTTTTTTCCGAAGAGAATCAAATCATGTCCATCTGCATATATTATCAACTCAGAGGAGTGCAGACGCCTAGGCATGTCCTTTATGCATACTAGGAAAAATAATGGGTCAAATGAGGATCCTTGAGGAACTCGGTGCCTCGTGACACAAATATTAGTACAGAGAGTATTGCTACACTTGTTTTCTGTCCTGCAGGCAGCTCCCGATCCCAATTAAATGGGGCCCTTCCGAATCCATAATGGTGAAGGCTACTTAAAAAGATAGAACGGTCAACGGTGTCAAAGGTTTTTGAAATTTTCCAATAGCATGTTGCTTGCCTTCAAACGTTCATTAAACAAAACGTCACTGCTCGACTGCCTGAGCTTCGCGTGCATTTTTGTTTAAAATTATTGTTTTGGTCTTCAAAAGACGCGATGAGGAATTAGAATTAAATAAAGAAAACAGACGTTAACACCCTGCCCGCGAATATGCACTGAATACAAATTCTGTAACGAGTTTTCAGCAATACGTCATCAAAGAACGTTTCCGAACTGCGGTCGATTTTTGTTAAAAGGGTTAAGTTTAAAATTCACAAGTAGAAAACAAGGTCGACATGTATGTGACAAGCGTCAAAAATTCTGAAAAAATATATAGAATCAAGGCAAGCTGTACCCGTTCTTGGTGATGCAAACTTCAACCAATTGTTTGTTCATCAGCAGTCTGTCCTGTTGAAAAGTACACTTTTGAAGTGTTATCATGAATATTGCTTGTCCATGTCTAGTGCAAACTACACAAAAACAGTATCGGAGAAGGTAATTACACAAGTTTCAATAACCACTGGTAAAAGTACTCCAAGAAAACCTATACACCTAAAATTCACTAAAACATCAATGATAAACATGATGATACAGAATTTTAAAGAACTAACAATTTGCAAAGCACATTGGAGCATTTTTATTTACAGTTGCAATCACAAAACAGAATAAAACAAAAAAGCTGAAAGTGTCCATAATTGATAGAATTATTAAAGCCTTCATATTATAAAAAGCTTTTGGTTTACAGCATGATTTTAGATCATAATACTGTGGTCCCATTATAGATCGCCCAAATTATAATACATCCCCAAAATGTAATAGACGCCATCTTGTTTTTATCAGAACTTCTTAATCCACGTTTTTATGTTAAAGATTGTCAAAATACACAGACTTCTAAATTCTCATAATTTACAACATTATGGTCTAAGGTTAGAGTTAGGGTTCTCAATAAGGTATTATTGCACCACGATGATCTTTTTAAAATCCCATTTTGGCTAAGTTATTCCATGCCATAAAAACTAAAAAAAAATTTGGATGTTAAAAAGATGTCATTACACTAGCAGGTTCACGTTCAATTGACGTATTTCGTGAGCCGAACCAATTTTTAAAAATCCATAATAAGCTTTATTTGATATTAAATACGTTGAAATCTCCTATATTATATGCTGAATGGTGGCCTGATCATTAATATAAAATGTAATATCACAATGTCTAACAAGTAATTGAAAACTAGAATTGATGAAAATATTCAATTTGACTTCAAAATGACTTGGACTGTCGACATACTAACACAAAAGCTTGACCAACACAGGCATAACAATAAGAAAAATAAATTGACAATTAAAATAAACAGGTGCTTTCAAATTGAAGAATGTATCCATAAAAGCGCAAATCATTTCAGACCAATATAATGATTTAATAGAAGAAAAGTTGAATAAAAGTTATAATAAACCATCAATAAATACTTTGTACCCATTCCTGCATAGCACAAAACTATATAATATTTTCATAGGAGTGGTTCAGAAAAAGTTCACAGATTCAAATCCTAATTGCTAGTGACAGATTGAAAGATTGGTTATTCTGTTGTGACACTGAAGATTTAAATGAAGATTTAAATTAAAAAGCTAAGTAAAATACGACAGAGTTAAGCAACAGTAAAAGCAAACCATATAACATAAAACGGACCACACTGGACCTTATTTCAACAAATGCTATTCTTGATGTTCAATAGCAGGGGTGGCCCACACTTAGTCGATCGCGTCTGGTGCCGAGTGAATTTAATAACATACCCAAAAAAATTACCTTGGACCAGTTTCATGCAGCGCCTAATGCGTTTTTTTTTCAAAAAAAGAAAGAATACAGTGCGATACATTAGAGGTAAGGTCGGGCCATAAAACTCTAGCCCGACACCGGCCCGTGGGTGTTTTACCCGACCCCGACTAATTAACTACAGGCTCGAGCTCGAAGCAAACCCGAAATTTTATATTTTATTTAGGAGTTCTTTGAATTCCACACATAGTTTTAGTATATATTTTTTGTAAACATATATTTATTTTAAAAAAAAGTCAGCGATAGAGATGCCCGACCCGAGCCGAATGTAATGATTCACATTTCAGGCCTGACCTGGCCCGAATTTCATCGCCGCTGCCGAGGTTTAGAAATGAACGTAATGAATATCGTGTGCCTGGACTGACGAACAATTCTACAATAACTTCTGCAGTATGCAAAAGTAATTGTCTTACTTCAAGAGTAGAGTGATAAATTTTATTCGCAATGGTGGCAGTTCCGGGTTTGATCACACATTTTCTTCAACATATATATGCCTTGTGCCAAGAAGACAACGATAATTACCTTTTTTATTGCACAGGGTAGAAAGACGAATTATTATATAAACATTGGCAAAAATATGTATCAAAACTAAGGGTTTGGCAGTTTTTCTCATATTCTTATGTTCATATATTATCGTGGTGTTTTAGAGTATTAATGCTTTCATTTTGTGGTAAGTCGACGCAAATGGGAGTTGAACACAATTAAGTTATTACAGAAAGACATTTTATTTTCTCGTAGATATCATGAATCGAATTACTCGCCGAAAGAGTCGGCTCTTTTTAGATTCCAACAGAAAGACAAGCACCTTGAATGTGTGATGAGCAGTGCAAGTATGAGACAAGCATTAACTCGCACGTAATCACGTTGACATAGCCAAGCTTTTTGGCAGCGGTGAAATTTTCCGTATGTGTGTGCGCGGTTATATGAATCTCCAGTTATCAGTTAATCGTGAGCTATTTTATAGATTTTAGTCGATCACGGTCAAATGCAGGTTGGCCACCCCTGTTCTATAGAGCTTCTAATTTAAATTTTTTCCAATATCATAGCGTCGACTAAGTCACCTCTACATAGTTTGGAACATTCAGAAGTCCTTGGTGGCAAAACCAAGAGAGCATTTGCCTTATTCATGCTAGTCAGTTTCCTACTGATTTGACTTCCTGTGCTTGTTGCCCATGGATCATTGTCATCTGGCTTCCAGAATATCACACATCGCTGGTACTCTGGTCTAGCATCCAATTCAATGTCCGACGAAATCTTAGGATATATCAAAATATCATTACAAATGGAAAAAATTAGCATCCAAAAATTGGTACTTAATGAAAACAGCATACACTCTTAATCTGAGAACCCATTTTAGCTCTATTTCTTATATGAGATTGTTGGCAAACTGTTACAAAATCAATATATCCGATCCAATACATTTTGAAAGGAAAAAATACACAGTTCGACTCCTTTATACATAATTACCTCATTATACTTTTAAAAAGTGACTGCAGCAGCATTGTCTGCTATGTAATTTTCCAGATGGAAAAATGTGCAAATGAACCGATTACTTACTCTTGCTTTGATAATTGTGGCACCTGGATTATCCAAGCCACTCATTTTTTTCAGTGCAGGTAATGCAAATATATTGAAAGTTACAATTGCAGACACCGGATTTCCTGAAAAAAATGTTCAGTACATTGGACAGATTGCACAAATAAAAAAGTTTGGTAAACACAACTGGAAAATGTAACTAATTGGTCCTCAAATCTTTTCAGTGGCATAGACTCCTCTGATGATTTACATGAAAGTTGAGGACTCCTTCAATCAAAACCAGGGGCCCCATTCACAAAGCTTCGTTACCGCTTTACGTGTTAGTTAAGCACCGACTTTCTTGTGGAAAGCAAAAATGGTATTCACAGGTCTTCTTCTCACATTTTACCGAGAATCAGTATTCACTAAAGTTCTTTAACGCGCTGAAGAGCTCGCTAGCTAACGAGGACAATCTTCGCCTCGATAACAGTTCGGATTGCTCTCAGCAGTGATTCAAATTAAAATAGGCTCGTTGAGACGTTAGCATACTTTGTAAAAATTGGCATAGTATCAAAAGGCCTTACTCGGGTAAGCGTTTATGTAGTCTAGTGCCGTTAACTTAGCTGCCGCATTTACAGATTAAACTAGGGTTGAGATTCAGAGATTGTTCAGTTGTTGAAGTCATTGTTTTTTGTTTATTCTAGCATTGGCCTACAGTATTACAAACACAGATTCACAAATGGCTACCTATATTGAAGCCTGCAGAAGAAAACCCCCAACAAAGCTTTGGCAACTCACTGATTTTATTGTCCGTTACACAAGTAGTTCACAATATGTAATTTGTTTTGTGGCAATAAATCTCTCTCTCTGTAACTTCATCATTTATTCCATGTAGCCTATCCGTCAGTCTATAGATTACGCCACTGCTATATGGACAAAATTTCAAAACGCAGGCTGCAAAGGTGGAGCAGAGAAAGCCGATAGGTTACCGCGTTCCACGAAGGCAAAACACGCTCGACCGTAAGCGGCGACATTTGAAAACGGCTGAGTGATCAGTCAGTGCATTTTGTTCAACTGCGACCGTGCGTAAGATTTCGAGAGAACGCTAGTGACCGTGCGTCAAGTGCTTACTAGGTCTTTGGTGAATCGCATTTAACGAGATTTCGCTATCACGATTCTGAGAGATACAGTTACGAGATCGTAAACCCGGCTTTTTACGAAGTTTAGCGAATGGCGCCCCAGGTGTAGTAGCTTTTCATTGAAACTGCAGATGCAGAATAAAACTTTACTTTGAAGAAGAGCTTGTGCTAATCAACAAAAAGAACCTTAACTTGTAAATGAAAAAGAACCTATTGCTTTGGCTATTATTTATCGTATACCACAAATATATGGAAAATCTGCTTGCTTGTCTTCAATATATTGGACAAACTAATTGCAAACACACACCGATGGTCACTAATTAGATTAGTTTTTAACAACTGCCAACATGCCGTTCACCTCCTATATATGTAACCTTACTGAACATTGCTAAATATAGAAGAAATGAAATATTCATATCATCATGGTCACTGGTCAGCATTACTGATTCAGAGTAGAAAACAAAATGCACACTGTTGGCTTTAGTGCAGCGTTCATTTATGGATATTGAATTTGAATTACCTACAAAATAAGCTTGCAAGCTTGTTTTGTAGGTAATTCAAATTCAATATCCATAAATGCAGCACTAAAACCAACATTACTATCCCGCACTTCATACATACCTGGCAAAGCAAAGAATAACTTCTTGCCAGCTTTAGTAGAGACAGATGCAAATGTTGTGGGTTTTCTAATATAATAATAAAAAGGTGTTAACTGTTAATTAGAATCATTCATTACAACTTATTTATAATTATTATGACATCAGAATGCTCAAATATGAATTTAATGAATACAGATTGAATTTCTTATTAATGTATAAATTAGTAAAGTCAATCATATGCGACTTGCAAATAAAATCATAAAACAAAAATATAAGTTTTTTGAATTTTTCCAGTTACTGAATTTTCTGGTTAAATCAAGTGTGTATACACCAGTACTTAATACGGAAAACAACATTCATTTCATTCCTGAAAAGTTAAAACATCTTTGCTGTCATTGACATACATATTTTTTGACTATGCTCAGAGGACAATAAAAATAAAATCCATGTTGCTATACGGTGTGACTCCAAATTAAAATTCATAGCTGACTATAACACCAGTGAGATGATTTATCCAACCCTCAAGGGCATTTGTCAATGAAATAAACTTAACTATATCCAAAGCATAAGGATAACCGAGAGGAAATTGGGGATAATTGCACTGTTTATACCATTTATTCAATTCAGCACATTTTATAATATTTGTAACAAATGTAGTCTGTGGGATGAAGATGAAGAAAACCTTGTTTTTTCAGTTTGAAAACATCAGTTCATAAGTTAAAAAAATATGTGCACAATCACCCAGGTTTCATTAGTATCCGCCCAAAATGTATTTTTCCTCCTAGGCTTTGCAGTGTGGATTTCAAATAATCTTTTTCTCCCATAGATACTCCTCCAGAAGAGATGACGATATCAGCTGTAAATCAAAATAAAGATACTTCAAACACATTTAGAAAGAATGCCTTATATGTTATAGCACACTTTCACAAATCTTATTCTGTAACGTTCCCTCAGAAGCAGCTTACAACAATAATAAGAAAACAAATTCATATGGTTTAAATGTAGGAAATCATTGTTCTTTATAAGTAGTGGATAATGGTTGAAAGAGACTTGAAACAATCTAAATAAATAATTCTAAGAATCGATTTAATGCAGCTGAAGGTAACATAGCAGTGCGGAACATAGTATGTGTACCAGGTTAGGGTTGTGCGTCATCTTGGTGCAAATACTTCCGGAGCGCCAGTATAATTTTTTTACACAGTCGACCTAATAGAAGGGTGACTGGATGATGCTGTTGTCAAGAGTTATCACATGCACATCCATGAACAAGGATAGTCATGAAGTTTGACCAAGAATAATGTTGAATCTTATATAATAATATATGGGCTACCTAAATTACTATTAGTTGATCCCTCCCTATGTTCAAAAGTCATAGAAGAAGGTTAAAATTCAGTTAGCTAAGCTCTTAAATTTTTTGTTGATAAAATTTTTACTGATTAAAATATATGCATGTTTCAAAATTCCCTCCAAGTACCGGTAATAGGCCTACATTAGAATATTTCAAAAAATTTCGATGTAATTGTAATCTCAATGATGCATAAAACCACTTTTAACAAAGCGTCAGTAATGTGATATCTATGAATTTATTGTAACGAGGCACAAAATACTAACCACAGTGAATACAGTAAATTACTCAATGAATTGAGGAAAAAGGTATTTGACAATTTATCGCATGCCAAGTATGGATCATTGATGAATTTATTGATGGCCAATGATTGGTAACAAAAATTTTTAACACAAAATTCGGAAATCATGGTAAAATGTTATAAAAACAAATTAGCAAATAGAATAAAAACCCCAATGAATGGAGGTGTGGTTGTACCCTTTTCCATTGCATTTTCTAGTCTATCTCTCAATTCTTCTGGTTCGTCTTGAACAATTCCAATATCGATCGTTTCATAACCAGCTAATTTTAATGCAGACAACAGCATGATCCTGTTGCTATCGCGTATCTGTCCAACTGCAAGCTGTTTTCTTTTGGGGCTGGTTATCTAATATAAAGAAATTATTAATGGAATATGTGTGGATATACTTCGACAAAATATGTAGCTCTAATAATTGGAGAATAAAATGATCGACCAATATTTTAAAATCAACTGCCTACTAAATATTATTCATCAACTAATATATAATGCTTATTAGGTATATTTAATCACCTCATTTCCTGTTGACAACACAGCGACCTTAGGCTTGCCATAGACAGGAACATCTGTGAATCCCAATGACGCTAAAACACCGATTTCGCTAGGTCCCAGCAGGGTTCCAGAGCGTAATAAAACAACTCCCTTCTTGATGTCAGACCCCACTTGCCGAATATCTTGTCCTTCCTTTGCTTCTGTCAATATGGAAATCCTCACTTCAGTGTTTCCCTGCAATTGTTTTCAAGTGAAATAAAAACTTCAACAGCAGACACAAAATTATCATTAGAAAAATTAAGGCTTAGGCAGCATAGATGGGATAGTGGGTGCTCCAGAAGCGTGTGTACCAATATGGAGGTAACTAATTTTGTTCGCCTATATTACATCAAGTTGTGTAAAGGGACTGAAAGCCATGGGCAGGGGGTATTTTCACTTGACTAACACAGACAGTCCACAAACTCGTGATAGAACTAAAATAAGGAAAATCAGAATAAAATTATGGCCTAACCCTAACCTAACACTAGGGGAGTATCAGATAGTGGGGATAACGCTTGGTGTTTTTGTTGAAATAACGTCTGTGTCAATTCCTCAAAGTACCTGCAGAAATTTAACAACAATGAAAGCTTTGAGGTAAGAATTCAGACCTCGAAATATTAGAAGGCAATTATAAACCGATCAAAGTTACAGAAAAATTCTGAGCCAGAAGCTTAATTGGGAGTCTTATACCAGATAAAGCTTCATTGGTACAAACCCTCTGATTTGAAGCCAGATGCTTGCACAATGAATGTCATTTATGACAATTCTCGAAAGACACCATGAAATTTTAGTTGAAAGATTTATAATGGAAAATATTGAATAAAGCACGTCTGACCTACAAGAGATTTTTTTGGATTTTACAGGTTAGATATTACATTTGAAACCTACCTGATCAGCCTCTTCAAGTAATTTTGTATCTTCAACTTGTACTACAGCGTTTGCCCCTTCCGGCAATGGTGCCCCAGTTGTAATTCTCATAGCTTGTCCTCTCTTCAATTTAATAATAGATGGAGAACCACATACTGATGCTCCAACTACTTCAAAATCTCCTGGAGTATCTGATGCTGAGAAAAAAAAAATAGGACTTGTGTACACAGTAGGGAAGGATTAAAATGTTTTATCACTATTGCTAACTTCCATTGTGCAGCAAAGTTTTTATATGAATTGAAATGAATGTCCCACTATAATAAAGTATAAAATAAAACCATGCAAAGTGATCATAAATCTATATTTCATACAAGATGTAAAAATACAGCAGTCATAAAACATTGATTAAGAATAGAGAAGTTCACACAAAACTGTTTGTATTTCATTTGAGTAAACAGGTAAAATCCTAAAGAAGGAAAAATTGTTCTCATTAAAATTGATAACCCATAATTCGATAAAACTAATTATCAAATGCAAATATCCGCTAGAAAGGTGAGTCTCCTTTATATTTGTATAAACAAATGCTTTTAAAAATAATGATATAAATCAAGCACTATAAAATTACAATAAAATTTTGGCTTTCGAGCGCAGTTTATTAAATTCAAACTATCAGTGAATGAAGGAATATAAATCTTACCAATAACGGCATATCCGTCTTTAACAGAAGCTGCAAATCTTGGTATTGACTCTGGAGATTCTATATCCTCAGCAAGAACATATCCCAATGCGTCTGAAGCACAATGATTACACTTATATATTATATTTGCACCTCCTGAAGTATGTGCACCAAGATGGTGCAAACCTGAACTCGGGCTGTGTACCAGGTTAGGGTTCAAGTTATGCGCCACCTTGGTGCACATACTTTAGTAGCACCTTATATTTTAGGCTTAATCATAGTTTCAAACTTGTATTGTGATTGTTGTAATTTGATAGACAGTATTTTGTAAAACATGACAAAACCATGATATGATATGTAGTTTTTTTGTTCAAAAAAAAAGTCATGGAAAAGCTCAACAAATTTTTTTGATCATTTGATGTCTTCAAACTCGTAAATTTTGTATTAGACACTCCAACTTACAATTTTAATTTCGCTATGAATCCCATTATATCAGTTTTTTTTTTAATCACTGTTTATTTTCACGTCTTTTTATTTCATTTAATACATCTGTATGGGCCAACAAACTATATATGGTATCGATAAATCCCTCATGCAATTTAAAAATTTTAAGACTTTATGAACACCCTGTATATGAAATCTTTTTAATTATTGATTTATGCAAATTATATTTTGCTGGAAAACATAGACCGACAATTTTTAATTCTTGAAAAATCAAATCCTCAAAACTAATTTTAGATAAATATCTGAAGAAAGAAGTATTCATGAGAATATCAGTCAGAGACCTTAGACTTATCGATTGAAAGTTAGGGGATCCCCCAAAACTGCGGTTTCGATTTGAAATATTCTGCAAACCCGAACTGGATTGTTTCGATTAGTTTCAAAATATCAAAACTGTAGGAAACAATAGCCAACCTTCCCACGTCGTCGTCGAAATACTACTCAAATACTTTTATGAAGAATTCTGCAAATCCGAACTGGATTGTTTCGATTAGTTTCCAGCCAATAGCCCAATTTACCAATTCTAGATTTTGTGTCAAATACAACGACGCTAACCCGGGCTGCGACGGTTATCCAAACACAGCCAACATTGCAGGAAGAGTAAATATAAGTAACGAGATACGATCTCGCGGCGTGTATCCTTCGCTCTGACTTAATAGCCTGGAAAATTTCTCGAAGGAAACTTGCGCATCGCGACGACGTCAAAGTTACAAGAGGGATATGAACAATGCTCAAAGATTAATCGCGAGATACGATCTAGCGGTGTGTATCCTTCGCTCTGACTCACTAGCGTGAAAACTTGCGCATCGCACACACACACATTCAGCGTATCTCAAAAATCTCTTGCTTTGTAAAAATCGTTCTCTCGATTTGCAAAAACCCAGATCTCTTCATCTCTAATTAATTAATAACTCGCTAATTATACGACATAATTCATCCAAAATCAATAGGCTTCTGATCCGAGATATGATGAATGCACATGCAAAATTTGGAGCAGATTCAACCTAGCTTTTGTGAGATATCGCATGTATTTGACAGACAGACAAACAAACAGAGTGGGGTAATAACATAAAAATGTTTTCTATGTAAAAATGTATTACCAGAGTACAAAACGCTTTTGATTGGTTGTTTGACAACATTTTCCAACACTGTGGACAATGCTTCATCCATTTGCACAAGGGGATAAGGTGAAGTGCGATCTCTTCTGGCAACTTTTGAAGGAATCAGAGAATCTGTACAAAAACATATGACAATAAATGGCAGTTGGATATTTCAGTGCCATTTTGGTGTTTGCATATTGGAGTCCTGAGGTAGTTGGTTGGTAGACAATTGGTTCAGGTAACAGATTATTTTAACAAGATTCATTTTTTTCTTAAAACTTTGCCATGCATTCACATATATTTTTTCATAGGCATATAATAAATGCTCAGTTTCATATGACATTCTATAAACAAACACCAATAGAAGAATCGCCTAATATACATATTTGCTTCTTACTGCATAGAAGCTTGATATAAATCCAAAATAAAACAGCTTAGAATCATTCAGTTCAATTATCTTTTTCCTTTTATATAAAAAAATTTTACAGACGAAAATTATTATTAGAATAAATCGAATATAATATTATAATTACAACTATATTAATTTATATTTACAATTATTCACACATTTATTTTTATATGTGAAATAGTTAAGGTATCCTGAGTTTTTAATAACTATTATTTGAAACAAAGTTCATGGCACGTCGAAAATTTTATACCACTGATTCGATAAATCATCAAAAAAGTGGCCATATATCCACATATCATTTCAATCTCGATTCAACTATATTAATTGGGCACTGGAACTGTGAATTTAAATGACGTCATCCTTAATGCAGTGCAAATTAACAGTATAATATGTGGGAATGTGAAATACCACAATTATATATATATAGGCTATATATATATTGGTGAGGGTAAACAATTCCGAGTAATGCTTCCTGAACAGAAAGATAAAATATAATATTAGCATGGTATAACTAATTTGTATAATAAAATGAATCAATATCTTAATTTAATGAAGTATTTTTTGAAATGACATCAGCCCTCCCAAATCCTGTTTACCAAACTCCTTTCTTAATTAAGAATACAATGATAACTACAGATATGACCACACAGAAAGACAAATTAAGAAAAATATAACCTTTAGCCAATTTTCTTTTTTCCACCGATGTGGATTTTGATTCGCTTTTCATCTGACATAAAATTGCTTCCTGAAAACATGGAAATGTTATTATAATAAACATATAAAATTTTACCAGTTTTTACACACATCATTTTTCCTCAAAATATTCAAATCATTTATAATTCGATAATAAAATTTAATTAAAATGAATTCAAAGATGGAATTTTGAATTCGATCTATGAACAACAATGCCGCTGGCAAAAATCTGATTTATGCCTGGAAATTTTTTTTTCTTTATACATGGTTTAAAAAAAGTAAAATGTTTTTTAATTAAAGAGATACATGTCAGTAAGACTACTAAATAAAGATATTAATTTTCAATTACAACAACTGAAATTATGTGGGTCATTGTATAAAAAGAAGGACAGCATGATTGAAATTTTAGTTTTTAATAGTGACAATAACCCCAGTGTATGAGTAGGAATAACAAATTCCGAAACTCATAAAAGCTTTGACCTTTATCCAAGCCAAAAATATCGTTTGATTTCAAGCAAAATTGTATTGAATCCCAAATATAGCGTATTCGATTACCATCCAAAATAACAAATGAATCCCACAGGAGCTTTCGTGTTTTAACAGCACACATCAACACTGCTTTGTTTTTGAGTTACAATAGTGTGAAACTGAAAATTAAACATCTTATCCGATTTATAATGAGGTAACCATCATGTTTCCAGTATAATTTCCAAATAAATAACATAATTCAATGAAACATTTATACTTTCTGAATGTGCATAACAATCATATGCGTACTGCTCGCTCTATATTATGAAATATTCTAGATAACTCAAATGACAGAGAATAGAAACGTATTAACGTATTTCTCAGACCATTTTATTGTCTTTAAATCCTCTTCATTAATTCAGTATCGGGCAGTTTGTTAATCTTACTCTATTGAGCATTTTCTTTTTACAAATTGTTTATAAAACTTAAAATCTATTGGGTGATCGAAAACAGGGTTTCTCAGACCTGTGATTCGATCAATTCTTCAAACCACAATGCATTATTCTTCAATATATATCCTACTCACCGAGTCAGATTCTAACGTTGACAGAGATAGATCACTGTCTAGATCTGCGTCATCCAACTCCAAGTCTGTGGCAGTTATTATTTGATTAAATGAGTCAGGTATATGATGACCATGAGCTCCGTGTGCAAAATGATCAGTAGTATGAGATAAGCTGTGAACATTTAATACATGATGCCCAACAGTATCCAGAGCAGGTTGTCTTAAAGGTGTTTCATTACTGGCAGAAAGCTCCCTGAAATCAAATATAAAAAAATAATCAAGCTAATCAAGTGAATAAAGTATATAACTTCAACACCAATCGAAGATAAGAAAATTCAATGAAATGATAATGAATTATCACTGATAAAATAAAGAACACAAGTTGTTGTGATGATATGGATCAGAAAAGACTAGGCATATCGTTGTTTTAAAAGAAAAAATATCACTATTTGAAAAGCGATGATAGAAAGTTATATGTTTGATCACAACTGCTTAAGAAAACTTCCGGCTGGAGTTAACATTTGAAAACTTCAACCACAAACAATATGATATTACTTCACATTGGAACACACAAATTTCAAATTGACTATGCCCACTTGTGAATGTATTTTTCAATGTTTTGCCAAAGAAAGGATTCAACATCTTAATGCTCTTACAAAAGCAATAAAAATTTCATAGTAGGTATTTAAGAATTTCCAAGGCTGCAGATTTTGTCAATTTAAAAAACGTGTTAATTTTTCCCAATGACATTCAAATATGTTGGTTTGAGATTAAAGTTGAAGTGAAGTCTACAAAACTCTCTGTAAAAATAACCAATGGATTTTATGCATAATGTTACTTTCATTATACAGTGATACCTCCGTAGTCGAACATAATTCTGGGATTGGTGTTTGACTACCGATTTGCTCGAGTACCGAAACATTTTCTGCCAAAGACACAATGGTAATTATTTTAGTACGTTCAGCTACGCATACATTCGTACGCATTTCAAAATACTCAAAATATTAATAAATTTCTCAGTTTTCAAATCCGTTAAAATGGTGGACTTCGCCATGCCACACCGTAAGGCGAGATCAGACACTCAGAATACCATTCTCGAATTTTGCAATAATTTCTTTTTTCAACTTTTCCGTTTCCTCTTCTCCTCCCCTTATCATTACTTTTCTTTGGAGCCATGCTTAATGGAAAACAAAAAGCTCTAAATCACAAAAATTTCTCAACACATATTATACCCCTGACGTTCTGACTTGAACTAATGCTTGTTTAATGGTCGAGAGGTAGTCGATATGCACGGTTCAGGTCGGGTGGTATATCTCACTCGGCCAAGCTCCTAATTTTCCTTTCCAGTACCGCAGCATTTTTTTGGTCGACTACTGAGGTATCACTGTATATTTACTTTACAGTGAAAAGAAGACATACCTTTGATGTGTACTTCTCACTTCATCAAGATCATCCTTTAGTAAATCAATGGCATGACTGACAACAGGCAGTACAAATTTGAGACATTCCTATCAAAAGATAAATACTCAATATTAATGTTTGTTTTTTGAGGAAAAAACATATTCAATAAATTATAGAATTACCGGTAATCATGATTTCACTGCAAAAAAAAGTAATTTTTCCCAAACAAATTTTAAAACAAAAGAGAAGTATTTTGAACTTCATACAGTTAATAAGTGCTTCCAAATAATTCAATTTTTTTACAATGATATTTAAACTTAGCAATATTAAATAAAAACAAGTTAGATAAATTAAGGAAATGTTTAAATATGGTCTATTGATTCTACAGGTAATACTTTCTCCATGTAATACAAAAATCATTGACATTTGTAAAATTTTATTTTTTTGATTTAATATTAGTTTTTTAGTATATAAATAAAATGTAGAAAGCATGAAAATAAAAGAGAAATTACAATAAGCTATTCACTATTCTTCTAAAAATATTTGAAGGGGTTCAACTAAATGTGTGAAATGCTTATTATTATATAACAGGATGATATTTCAGTCATTTGATTCAATCTCTCAGTGCTGTAAGGTTTTAACTAAGAATACTTCACATCATTTGGCCAACACACTATAATAATATTTCTAATCATCAAATTGATATTTAATATTTAAATTAGACCTCATTGCATTGAATTCATGAGTCAAGATTCGTATTACAAGTACATCACTTCCCACGTCCAACCTATAGTATAGTTTTCTTTGCTCGTTATTACAAAAAGCAAAGTTTAATGTAGAAACTTAACAAAGTCCACATCATGTTACACAAAACATGGTTTTTCTGCAGGCTCCACCCACCTCCACACTTAGGAATGGACAAATCTTTTAAGCAATCAGATTTCACATATGGATATATCTCCATCTCATTTATCTAAGAAGAATTAAATTCGTATTCATATGCAAAATTGGTACTTTTCATATTGATTTGATAAAGTCTTTTTCTAGCAACTACGATTGATGTAAAGCAAAAAAATGAATTACATAGTGAAAATCAAAATTTGAAAAACAGGATTTCAGAATAGGCCTACTAAACTATTTGTCCATAAACATCCTGCAATATTACTAGTACTACTTATCCTAAATAATTTGAAAGATTCCTGAATCTGCATTGACTGGAATCTGATCATTCTTAACTATGGTATTTTATGGTCTGAGAATATTACATAATATAATACAAATACCACAAGTTTTATCTTATTTTTGTATATACAGGTTCATTGAGAGGTTACATTGGTTAGGCCTACTATTTATTCCATGTTATATAATACATAAAAAAACAGGAGAAAAATTAGATGAAAATGTATGTAAAATTGTAAAGTATATATTATATAAGCTCCATGCTACAATGGTAAGATGGTGGAATATGATTATTATGTGCTTTGAAACCAAAGTACCGGTACCCCTGAGGCATTTAGAATTGTGATGTAACATTATGTAACTATAAAAATATTATTATGCAACCAACAGATCTAAATCTTTAATTTTTGTGATTTGTAATGTGTGGTTGGGCTAGATATAAATGAGAATGATATTTGCTTTGCTTTTTGTTTTTTAAGATTTTTTTAATGATCATCACTCGTCCCAAGATCTCAACGAAAAGTGGAAAAGGCATTCATTCTCCAATGTTGACGACTCACATGCTTTTAGTATTGCATAGGTTAATCTTTGTTACAAAGATGCAAGTACCGTAGATAGTGGTTAAGCAAAAACTTGAAACAATTCAAGTCACTGTCAAGGGGATGGACCAGGAGGTGTAGGAAAGACTGCCAACATTACAAAAAAAATAAATTATAATTTGAGCTACAAGAGTATATGACCTTCTATGTAAATGACAATTTCTAAGGACAAGCCAACTATCAAAATATTTCAAATGCAGAATGATAATATACAATATACTTTCTTGTATCACAAATTTTAATGATGAATATTCCTAATGAACCTAATATTGTTATGTGAAACCTTCTAAACGTTTTCCCAAAACATATGTTATAATAACAGTCAACTATGGCTCTCTTGCAATCAACCATTTGACAGAGGATAATAAACAGTGAAAAATAATTTCATTGAATATGCATATAAGCCATCCATATAAGTTATCACATATAAATCAATGTAAAGTTTAAAGCGAAAGTGGAATATATTTCCTGACCGTCTTGCGCAATATTTTAAACCACAGGTATGAAGATCTGTAAACTAACCATCCGGGATATGAAAATGCATTGTTTTTCATCTCTGCAATGCAATCTATAAATTTGTTATGATAATTTTTCTCAGTTTCATTCATTTTGAATATTTTCGGATCTCTAATAAATACATGATTAAGAGTGAGACTACGGACATATACAAAAACATATGATAGAATAATAAATATTCCAACCTCTGCTCCTTTCATGTTACCGGGCAAATTCAGAATAAATGACTGCCCACGAATTCCACACTTCATTCTGCATAAAAAATATATAATTTGTAAATGTAATGCAAGAAAAAGAATCGCATTTGTCAAAAATAAAAATCTAAAATAAATTCACTTTAAAAAGAAATAGACAAGCTTATGTTTAAATATAAACATGAAAAATGTACTCAGTTCAGAGAATTCATGATTAAAAATTAATGAGATCTGAAATAATGCTTCCATAAACTCAGATAATAAAAAATATTACACAAAATTTATTACACAAAATTTTTATATTTTATTGGAGCGATATTATAATTAAGGTTATTGATTTCCTTAAAAGGAAAATATTCTATGTATCATGATCAGAATTTTGCTACGTAATGGATTTAAAATAGTAAAATATTTTTTTGATACACACATACTTCAAATTCTGATTAGAATTTAATAAGCATATATTAATAAGCGACTGAAAAGAATTCAAAAATTTATGATAAAAATTTATTCACTTCACAATGTTTAACATGTTTATAATAAATCTCCAATAAAATCAGCCTAATGCTCATCAGAACGTGAAACAAAAATCAATGAAAGCCAGGAGAGCACTACATCAGTATGTAAGATGCCAATCATGTTGACATTAATCTCATCTCATGTAAGAATCCCATATTAGAATTCTATTTTAGTTAATATTGCTCTTCAGAATGGATTCTTTAAATACCACTAACTGGACTTTACTGTCAATACAAACATTCATAACATTTTCTAATAATAACAAAAAGAATTATCATTCTCAGCATGTAATTCTATGTTACATTACATACACCAAGTTGTAAAATCATATTATACCTTGAGCAACCCGTATCCGATAAATTGTGATTTGATAAAAGATAGTTTTAAAAATCAATTTGGCATTGTACAGCACAAATGTTAAATAATTTTAATACCACTCAGTAAATTATTCACACACAAGAAAAAAGCATAGCGACAAAAAGAGTTAAAAATTGGGTACTCCCGAAGTATGTGAACCAAGATGGAGAACACCGGAACGTAGTATGTATACAGGTTAAGGTTAGGCCATAATTTTATTCCAGTTTTCCTTATTTTAGTTCTATTACGAGTTCGGGGACTAGCCAAGTGACCCCCGTGGTATTTGTACCTGAAATTATGGCCTAACCCTAACCTGGTACACATACTACCACATACTAAGTCTATTCACTTTAGCAAAGGTCAATCCTGTTTAATTTCAATATTTTTGTTCGTAAATGTACCACAATTGGAGAAAAATTAGATGCGTTTCCATTATCATTTTGTGCTGGATAAGAAAGTTTGAAATGGCAATGAAAGGTGTAATCCAAAAACGAATAATGAAATATCTAAATATTCAGAGGACTTTCTGACAGACCTTGATAGCATGGAGAATCGTGTAACAGCCAGTGATGCCGTGATAAGCCCGATTGGTATTCCATTGACCTCTCTCTCTATTACTTGTGCTGTAGCATCTGGAGTTACATCTCTTGGTGCAAAACCAGTTCCACCACATGTGATTATGAAATTTATACGTTCCTTGTCACACCATTCAATCAGAGTATCCTGTAAAAGTATTTGATATATAATTGTCATCAAATGTTCAATCACTATAGTATAGTACACATACAGTTCAAAATTATTTGATTATTCAATCAAACAAATATTTTAATATTATCCAACAAAGATTTATAAAGTATCATGTTATTTTTAGTTTTCTCTACCGTATTTGAATTCATTGACTTATATGATATTAACTTGATTATGATTCATGAACATCAATTTATAGTTTATAGTTCAAATTCAAAGAATTGTTACAATGACATATGGCAAGATTGTTTCGGTGAATCAAATCACAAACATATCACTGTAATCCTGCGCATGAAGTAAACTCCGAAATAGTGCTTTCTAAAATCAATAATTATGTTATATAATATGTGAAATTTATCACACAAGGTGACAATGTTTAATATTGTTCAAGTCATTGCTCTAAATTCTGTACAGAACATGGTTTATATCATGAATATGGTTTCAGTAACATGGATACATATTAATAAATAATAAATTAGAGATGTAAGTTTAATTTTCAAATAACCATGTGCCAAAATACATTAAGATTTGTTTGATACTCTGACATTCTATGTACCAGGGAGAATCAAAACCAAATAATCTATTCCGAATACATTCTAAAAAAATATTTTTGAATATTGAATAGTGAATACCACATAAATTTCAAATTGGGGCATGTTACACAAATAACACATAGAAGTCAATGTTTATTAATGGTTCAGAATCGAAAATGCAAGAAAGTTGAAATAAACAATGATTTGATTAGTTTTCTATTTATTACAGCTTTCAAAATTACATACTGTAAACCTTTTTGGGCAAACTGTGAGATTTCAGTTGCTAAAAATAATAGTTTTATAGACGAATTTAATCCCAAAAACAAAAAATTAAAATATTGAATCAAATTATTTTTAAATCAATGAAAATATTCATTTTTGACATCCATTCTATTTACATGAAGAAAAATTACAGTCCCAGTTATTTTGATCCAAACAAACACTTCCTATAAGATTTTTTGAATTTCGAGTTTTTTTCGAAGTGGTAACACTATGATCACCTATGTTCCGGTATAATATTAAACAATGAAGTATTTATACAACGGTGGTATACAGTAATTACATCACAACTTCCAACGCATAGCATGTGACGGATAATCAGGAATAATAAAAATATTTTTAATTACATAATCTCTAAAATGACGCATATGTTGGTGAAACCCATTGGGATGTTCTAGATTAGATCAATAAGCAGTAATGAATCTTGTTGACGTTTAAGAAAATCTTAAAAATACATAGCCTACCTATGTAAGTCAGGTTACAAAATTGAATATCAAACTCAACAGAAAAATTTAAATCAGGTTCCAAGAAGTGAAAAAAAAAACGTGCAAATTTGAAACATACCTTGATCGCATCAACCTCATCTGGAACAATTTTTCTAACCTTTACAACTGCCTTCATTCTAAAAGTAAATGCTTATTAACTTATATGAAACGCATATAAAATTGAATAAGATTGTAGAACTGCTATTTTGCATGCAGCAATTTCATTGACATGAGTTCCCAGACCGTTGAACATATTTAAATGTTTTTTTCATAGCCTTAATGTTTAACACCTAGAAAATGGCAAATTATAAAATTGAATTATAAACATTAACAAGAGGCCAAAACAAAGTAGTACATGTATGTTATATAATCTGTTACAGCACACTACTGTTACCGCAATCTTCATGACTAATGTGAAACCAGAACCGCCACAAGATGCGCAATTTTTGATGACATTATGGCACACAAAAACGAATCCCATAATGCTCACGGAAATTTTTGAAATATACAAAAGTAATATCTTTCTACTAGCGAAAAATACAAAGCGATTTTTCATAACGTTACGAAGAGAAATACCAGCAACAAGACTAAGAACAGCAACAACACAATACCAAAACGATCCATATGTACACCTTGTGTCCAATAACAATTCACCTAAATCTTAATTTATGTTTGAAAAAAAATTCTGAGATAACTTCATGGAATCTTATAGGAACGACTTTGTTACACATTTTTAGACTGGCAATATTTGACCTTCGATAATAAAATTCTAAAAATAATGTACTTTCAATCAACACATAATCAAATACATAGATTACCCAGTATATTCAACCAAGATATTTTGCAATTTCATTCCACTGATGTCTTCTTTTGTCCCAGCATGACATCTGTCACTCACTGTAAGTAAAGTTAATGTTCAGTATCGGTTAAAAAATTGCATTATTGTGACAGTGTGGCAGAATAAAAAAATACATATCATGAGGTCCACCACCATATGTTAGCTACCTAGGTGCGAGCTGAGGTCGACTACATCATGAAAACATATAGAACTTTCATTTATCTATTCAATTCAATATAAGGATATGCAGTCCACAAATAAAGCGTAGGCATAAGTGATATCCAATAGGGAAGAAAAATGCAGTGCTAGACCTCACGCTACAGCCTACAGTGCAGTACTTGATTGTACAACATTCAGATAAAGCAATACCACAGAACAACATCAGGTTGTTCATATTTTAAGTACAATTTATAGTGCAGCACTGGAATCATTCAATAAGTTGACTAAAAGCGTAAAGGAAATAGCCACAAGGGAAATTTGTGAAAAGCAGGTGAAAGCAGATGTTTTGCCATACAATACGAAAAGTTTATATTTATTAAATATCACTGCTGAAAACAACGATTCTGTGAGACTATATCGCTTCAAATACCATAATATTTAGCCAGCGGGCCACATGCTGAACAGAACATCACTGAATGATTTATTGCATAATATACAAAATATTTTAGCTCACCTGTCAGAACTCCACAAAATACAATTTTTTCCTTCGTATCTGCCATCTTTCGTTGCAGGAATAAAGCATGTGTTGTTGAATTATGATATAAGCAATGAAGCCAAAGGCTTTTCAATGCCAATATATACAGCCAGTAACGCTGTATTGTTTATTATTTTGCTTGTATTAATGAACTAATATAAAATATTACAACAGTACTTGACTCCTATATCCGCCAATGTTAATGTGGTAAATTGGCCTCTCTTGGCTCAGTTTTGAATTTAATTAGCAATCGATAGACAAACAACTCGTTTTAACAAGCAGCCAAACAAAAACATAAATAAGATATACGTTACTTATTCTACAGCAGTGCTCTTCAACAGGGGTTCCCCAATACATGCAGTGGGGTTCCGTGAGTTTATAGGGTGCCTTAGGGGTTCCGCGTTTTTTTTTTTTTTTTCAGGTGCTTCAGCATGTTCATGCGTCATTATAAATATTCTTAGGCCACCGTGTCCCATTCAAACTACAAGTATTTTGATGAGCGAAAGTAAAATAATTATGGGTCTTCATATATCGAATACTCATATGGCATCTCTCATCACTGCATTAGGTGTAAACTGAAAAGAGAACTTAAAAATTAAATTTACTGGAATTTGATTAAACCTCAATACAAAAACTTTCCTGCCTATAACATTGGGGAGGTCAAGTATGTTATAAATCTGCAAATATGTAAATGTTTTGGTAGCAACAAGACAGTACTGCAGGAAGAATTAAGACTATAAACTAACTAATGCAGTAATGTTAGAAAATAAAATGCAGAAAAACAAAGCAAATTGAACTCAAGCAAGTTGGCGGGTCTGGTATACAGGTATAGTTTAGTACCACATGTACTTCTAGTTGATCAGGCTCAACAATTTTTGCATATGTCAATCCTAACTCCCACCTGACTACGTCACCGAAAAATTACGTCATTTCGACGTCACAGTGGCGTAATAAGGCCCACCGAAGTATGCGGATGGCGCACAACCTGGAAATAGTATGTGTGTGTGTGTAGCAGAGTCAGGTTGTGCGACATATTGCTGCACAGACTTCTGGAGTACCAAAAGGTAGATAAAATTTCGCTTGATGACCTATAATCCGGTACATAACCTTGTAAATATACCGGAAATAGCGCCATAAAACCATGGCTGCATGGCGAGAGGCGCCGTGGTTCTTTCGTGGCAGGAGGTGGTAATGACTGCGTCTACTGTTTTGCGTTGTTTCCCTGTGTTTTGCGCTGGTTTCTTCTGTTTCGCGCTATTTTGCGCTCTTTGCGGTGTTTCGCGCTGTATTCAGTAAGTAGTAAGACCCCTGCGCCTCGTCAGGTGGGGGTTAGGAATAGCATATGCAAAATTCGTTATGCTACGCCCACCGGAAGTACTTGTGGTACTAAACTATACTAGACCCCAAGTTGGCTGCTACCCAGACTGGATTCCATGGCAGGTGCACGCCCGAGGGCGCTAGCGCTCCGCAAAAATGCACGCGAGCGAAATCAATTTTGCACGCCGAAAATTTGCAATTGCTCACCAATGTAAATCGGTTTAAATGGTTTTAAAATCAATAATCCAGTAATATAAAGATGCCAAAATATTATGCCTCCACAATTGTCGACAAATACCAGCTTGCAAGATTTGGTCTGATCGAAATATTGCGAAGCAAAAAGACCACGGACCTTTCCCCAACCTTTGACCCGCAAAAAATTCCTCTCATTGTTACGTCCTTTTTTGCATCTTGCTGATTGACCAATGTCACGAAGTAAACAAGGAAGTCGATGCTCGGGGAAAGGTCCATATCGTGTTGAATGATAGGAAATAGGAATCCCGTGAGAATAGTTATGGACGAAAAGATCGCCTCCGCACCAATGGCCAAGTACGGCTCTGATTCAGCGTATTTTTCATACAATAATTTTACACAAATGTACTGAACAGTACCGGTATCTAAAGTTGCTCAAACACTCCCAAAATTAGTGACAAAGTATGAAAATAATGTTTGGGGTCAAAGGTCAAACGTCCATTTTGCTCTAATTTGACGTATTTTTTATCCATTAATTCTACGTAAAAACACTACCAAAATTGATGACAAAGTATGTCCATTTTGCTCTGGTTCAACGTATTTTTTATCCAATAATTTTACGCGGATGTACTGAACAGTACCGGTATCCAAAGTCGCACAAACACTCTCAAAATTAGCGACAAACTGTAGAAATAATGTTTGGGGTCAAAGGTCAAACGTCCATTTTTTCTCTGATTCAACGTATTTTTTATCCGATACCGGTAATTTTACGCGGATGTATTGAGAGGTATCTGATGTCAAAGTCAGTTGCACGCGAGTGCAGTTGTTTTGCACGTCGTGAGCTATAATTGCACGCCAGGAATTCTTATTTGCACGCGGGAATTTCTGATTGCACGCCCGATTTCTCGTTCAAAAAGGCCATGAAATCCAGACCGGGCTGCTACTAGACTACAGTACTACTAGCCTTCTCTCCTAATGAAGAGAGATTTAACGCATTAGAAGAAGGCGTGCTACTAGCTTCACAGTGGTACCGTAATTTTTCGTACCTTCTCTGTTCTAGTGCGGTTCCTTTAACTACCGGAACGGGGTGGAAAACATACATAAACCTACCGGAACGAACCTTTAGATGTCTTGCAAATCTCATTTCATATACTTCCATGCAATTTTTATATTAAATCGGCACACTTGGGAGGGGAGGAGGGGGGTCAGTGGTAAAAATAATTTTCTTCAATTACCGGAACGGACCCCAAATTGCAGGAACGCAGTGAAAAACCCACATAAACACACCGGAACGGATGAACGCAATGAATTCCTGAATCATCTCTTATCAATATGAATTAATGATAAAAATCGATAATCAAAACCTTCTTACATGTTATTAGCCTTTAATTTTCCTTGTAGATAAGATAACGTAGTCATAGATTCAAATTGAAACAAATAAAAATTGTTTCCACAAACATTCTTGTGCAGGTGTTGTAACTATGTAGCACAACATGAATATCCACCTAAACCTGTCATTATTAAAGATAATGTTGTTATTTTAGTTCGCGTTCCTGTCAACCGTAAAGACTGCCGTTCCGGCACTGTAATCTACCGTGATAGATTGCATATCGCTTCGTGTCCATATATTTGAGCATCGTCCTCTTGTTTACCTACATAGTCCAGCGTTTCCCAAACTGTGTTCCGCGGAACACTAGTGTTCCGCGAGCATCTTCGAAGTGTTCCGTGGAAAAAGAATCAAAAAACGCCTAAAATGGTCGCCATGGAGATTTATGGCAGGGCTTCCCAAACTAGAGGCCGCTAAACGAATTTTAAGGGCCGCAAAGAAAACACCAATTTTACAAAACATCAAAAATGCATATTTCGAACTGTATAAGTATAAGTTTATTTCGACTCCATAATCAGCAAAACAATAAAATGAATGGTAAAAATAAATAAATAAAAACTGATTATGAAATCAGGAGAGCGAACAAAACCTTAGATAAGGTTTAAAACGTACAGAATGTATATAAGATGGAAGGTTTTGCCAAGAAGATGTGGTACGTGTTCACTCACCTAAAATAATTGAAATATTTCACACACGCTCACACGCACCCACACACACAACCATATAGAAGTTATTAAGTTAAGGGAACATGAAAAATTACATACTGGTAGTTAATAAAAAATAAATACATAAAAATTAATTGCCACACCATATTAATAAATTTATCATGATTGCCACTGCCAAATTGATCAATTTTATAAATGGGAGTGAACAGTAAAGATAAACTTTTATATATAAAACAAGAGAGCTATGCTCAAATATATGGACACGTAGCGCCACCCAATGGCAATAATTTTGATGACGTCATAGCGAAAAAAAAAGTAATAGCCTTCTGGAGAAAAATTTTATCTTCAACCACTGAAAATTTCAAAGCAATTGGTCCAGTATTCGAAGAGAAAAGCGACTTTTTAAAAACGTGTCAAAGAACAAGAACAACAACAAGGACAACAAGAACAAGAACAAGAACAACATAATATTGAAACGATCGTTATGTCCACTACGTGTCCAAAAATATATTGTCAAGCTGATTATATATGGAGTCAAATGCCAAAATGCCCAACCAAAGTTGCCAGAATTGGGTGCATGGAGAGGTGGGCTAGACCACTTCATTGCCCAAACTAGAGCCTATTATTGCCAAATTATAGTCCAGATTGTTTACCATTATTAACGAGGACAAGGGCCGCGAAAAGTTTTAATATATATATATCAGTGGCGGCGCGTCAATAGGGCCAACCGGGGCAATGCCCCGGTTGTTTTTTCGGTATAATAAAAATATTCGAAAAATACCTCAATATCGGTTGCACAGACTGTCTACACTAGCCATATTCTCCCGACATGGTTCATTTTTCGCTCGCAAAGCCTTCGCCGAACGTCGACGGGGCGACGCCGATTTTGCCCCGGTTGCTCATTGTATATCGTATTCTCTCTTTTATCTTCCACTCGTTTGTCTCGTTTGTTTTCTTCTTCTTTTACTAAATCATCGGGGCCGATCGGGGCTAGCCCCAAAATATGACGACACAATGCCGACGTTTCTTACAACAACGTGTTGACATATTCACGCATTCCTTCTCGTTCGTTGGTTGCTTGAAGAGTTGATAGTTTCCTCGCCTTCGTTTTTGTCGCTTGTTTCGCTATTTGAATCAGTTAGAGCCCTTTAGTCCATTTGCTTCCGATTTTCCACATTCCCTTTGAGCTCCTCACTTCTTTCCGGCTTCGCATTTCTTAGCCTTAGACCTCATAATGAATAAGGTTGATGCACTACTTCGCACTCCGTTTTCGCAGCTGCCGCTGGAACAAAAATTAGAGGTACAACGTCTTGGGCCTTATCAACCAAAAAATTGTTCACTGGAACAATCCCATGACGGAGGAAAGCGTCGGCGTACATTCTGCGCAGAAACTTGGTATAAAAAACACGAATGGTTGTGTTACAGCGAGGATAAAAATGCACTTTTCTGTTTTTATTGCCTACTTTTTGCTACCGTCCGTGTCTCACGTTGGTGTAAATTTGGTTTTAGAGATCTTAAACATCTTTCCGAGCGTGCCAGGGATCATCAATCTTCTATGGAGCATCTGGACAATGCAGTAAAATACCGAACATTCGGAAATGTTAATATTGCAGCACAGTTGGATGAAGGACGCGCGGTTTCTAGTCGTCGGCACAACCAAAACGTCGAGAAAAACCGCCATGTTCTCGGTCGATTGATAGATGTTTTGAAGTTCATTGGTTGTCACGAGCTGTCCCTCCGTGGGCACGATGAACGGGCTGACTCTTCTAATAGAGGGGTATTTTTGGATATGGTGGAATACACCGCATCCCTAGATACAGTATTGAGAGATCATAT